CAGGATCAGTTACCTGAACGTCTGCCATGAGAAACTACGGGAGCAGCAGGACCGAGAGCGTTCGCCAGGGGCTGGGAGGGACATCTGTTTCACATTAGCTGGTATATAGCTGGGATTATTTAGGCACAGAATGGTCCAGCCACTCACACAGCAGAGCTAAGGGCATAACACTGAGGCCATGACGAAAGCTAGCAGGGAGAAGCAGCGGCAGCAGCAGCCAGCAATTGTGTGCTGGGGACAGGAGATGGGAGCAACACAATGTCAGGCTTGATCCCCTACCAGGGCGACGCGACCCGGGGCAACCCGTAAAATGAAGCCCTTAGAAATGTAACGGCAACATTTTGCGACGTCATGAAGGAATGAGGAGAGAGAAAGGCAACTGGTTTGAGGTTCCACCGAAATGTATCGAGCGCTCAAAAGTTTCAGTAGCTCTATTAGAGGAGCAATATGGGAATTAAGTACTGAGGAAGTGAAGTCCAGTAGTTGGAGCACAGGGCTGGAAGCCAACACTCACGCTCTGCTTTTGGCTCTGCTGCTCACTCGTTGTGTGGCCTAAACCCACGCCGTTTAATCTCTGTGTGCAATCTCTACAGTGGTATAATAGCCTTTTGCAGACATGTTGCAAGGCTCAAATAACTAATGTTTGGTAATGTACTTTGTGATGAAAGGTGCTAAGTAAGTACAAAGTGTCATCACTGGTTGTATTCCTGTATGTGTACCCAGCCTGTGCAAAACTGCTGCTTGCAGTGCAGCTGCAGGTATGTATTCCTTTACGTGATTGTACAAGAAAGTTTAACACATGATTTGTCTTTGCAGGACTAGATGTTTGATGGTTCATTTCATGCAATTTTCTCTCTTCTAAAATGAAGCACATGTTTATTTCTGTTCATGTCAAAAACTATCCTCCCATTGTTTGAACACAACGGGAAGAGTTCCCAGCGCCTTTGAATTGCCGCAGGTCCTTTGGTTTCATCTGAACTGCAATAAGTTATCAAAGGGAAGACACCAGCTTAACATCTCAGGAAGTTCCGAGGGTAGATTTTACTAGTTAGTCACATTTTAGATCGCTGTAATCATTTCCTCATACTCACCCTGTGGCAGTAGTTGGAGGCTGTTATGACACAGGGCTCTACACAGAGCAGCCAGGATATAAAAGCAAATGTTGTAAAATAGGCGTAACTTTCACAGCTGTAAAATTGAGCTGTACTTCCCTAAGAAGAGGCCAGATTATATGATTTCTTGTATTTCCATTGCTTGTGGTTATTGCCTAATTACTTGTTTCCATGTCTAACAGACAGTGAGTTTAACTACCCAACTGAATGTAGAAAAAAAAAAAGGCTATGAGCAATTCTGACAAGCACAACAGCAAGAAGTATAGTGTGAACATGAAAGGCCTTAGGGCATGAGAGTGCCTTGACCCAGGGAAGTTGTACTGGTAAGTTCTCAAATAAGAAGCAGTGGCAAATAATGGAAGAGTAATAGTAACTCTCAAGTTTGACAATTAAGATGACTTAGACAATCACATGAATGTGTGCATTCAGTTTTCTTCTGCAAGAAATGAGTCAATGACCTGACATGTGAAAATTAGCAAGCAAGACCAGTGAAGCCACACTAAAGTCCTCATGAAGGTCCACGTCAAGAGGAGGAATGGATAAAATGAGAACAAATTAAGAAAAGAGGCATCAAAGATGTCTGCAAGCTGGTAAGGAGAAAAATGGGAAGTGGATGGAACCATCTGCAATATACACAAAAAGAACTATTTCCTGACTCTTCAGCCCACTCAGAAAAGCCAGAGAGAGAACAATCAGACCAGTGACAAAAGACAATTACAGGCCAGAGAGAGACATTAGTGAGACCATGGAATGAGTCAAAATATCTGTAAACCTAATTAAGAACAGAATGTGCCAGCCGAGGCGGCCACAACACGGTTACTGAGCAGCCTGATCACATGAATGTGTGCATTCAGTTTTCTTCTGCAAGAAATGAGTCAATGACCTGACATGTGAAAATTAGCAAGCAAGACCAGTGAAGCCACACTAAAGTCCTCATGAAGGTCCACGTCAAGAGGAGGAATGGATAAAATGAGAACAAATTAAGAAAAGAGGCATCAAAGATGTCTGCAAGCTGGTAAGGAGAAAAATGGGAAGTGGATGGAACCATCTGCAATATACACAAAAAGAACTATTTCCTGACTCTTCAGCCCACTCAGAAAAGCCAGAGAGAGAACAATCAGACCAGTGACAAAAGACAATTACAGGCCAGAGAGAGACATTAGTGAGACCATGGAATGAGTCAAAATATCTGTAAACCTAATTAAGAACAGAATGTGCCAGCCGAGGCGGCCACAACACGGTTACTGAGCAGCCTGGAAAAAAAACAAAAACAAACAAAAAAAAAAAAAACAACCAATAATTCTTGTACTTAATGTCGGCAAATGTTACCAATGAAGAAAGTTATACAATCAAGAATGAGAAAGAATGTAGAAGAAACTAAGAAAGAAAAACATCTCCGTTTTTCTTCTGAAAGACTCTCTCATTTCTAGGAAATGGACTAGATTTTAAGGTTTTACTAGAAAAATATCAAATTTTTCACAGAAACAGTGTTCACACAGGAAAAAAACAGCAACAATATATTAGCATAAGATTTAGATCTTATCTGGAGACATAGGCTGTGCAGAGGTATAGCACAAAGAGAACAGGATATATAATGTATGAAATGCACCCTCTTTACCTTCATTGCACAATGAAAGCAATGACTCACAACACTCATGGTTCTTCTGCAGTGCATTCCTTGGATTAGGAATACAAATTCTGATATTCTAATCATCCATTACTCAACAAAGTAGCATGACCTTTGTAATTTTGACTGACATTTATTTTAGTAAATGAATTATGACTGTGTTTAGCTCAACAATCATCATTTAAGAATAGTGTATTTATGCCAAATTAATTAGACAGTTAAGCTTGAAACATTTAGTATAATTTATTTTACTTCTAACTACCTTACAAATACCTGTCTGGGACAACAGATATTTTTTATATTAAGACTTTCATGGCAGACAATTCATAAAAAAAATTAAAAACCAAAGTGCATATTTTTTTCTGATCTCTGTCTCCAGACATAGTAAAGATCAAAAAGTCTCATACATTCAAATTTCTGTCTTGTACTTTTGATACTTCATCATCCTGATAGCCATCATACAGAGACAATGAAGCATTGAGAAGCTAAGCATCATATTACACTTATTGAAGAATCATGCAGTGAGCAGTACCTTGACATGTGCCTTCCAGGTCCTAGACTACAAATCTGCTTTTAGGTTGGGATGGTCCTGGGCAAAAAGAAGGTAAGTGTCCTACTGTATCTCAAGGACAAAATTAAACAACAACAAAAAAAGATCAAGAAAGAAATTAATTCAAGAATGTTTGGCAGTATGTAGCTTCTTCTGGCAGTGTGATGACAGAGATGTCATGAACTACAGCAGTATCATGGATGAAGCCTGAAATCACACTCCAATGAGACCTACAGTGGTGGTTTTCAGTTTAAGATAGTAACAACTAACCATAAGGGTCCAAAGATCTAAGCTTCTGAAAAAAATAATGGCAGCTGAGGAATTTTGGAGACTGGGAATTATTTCAACTTACCAAGGTAGATTTTGTGTTGCTCAGATGCGGACTTCTGGTTTCATTTAAGATATTCAAACATTTGAGATGTCTGCTTCACAGATATGACATGGGTCTTAAGAAGATCTGTGCCTTTTTGAACTGCAGTGGGTGACCAGATGAGAACATCTCAAGTTGCATCTGATACCCTGGCAGGTTACTTGAATAACTCTTTTCAACTTCATTGTCTGCATTGACTACATTTTTGCTGACTACACTGTGAGCTTAAACACTTGGCTCATATATAGACACGACTT